ATGCCAAACTTGAACACTAAGGATCCCAATTGGACTTTCCAATTGAACTTTCTTTTGGATTCTTTGGTCACGCTTCGCTGTAGAGGGTAGCTTGCCTTGGACTTGTCAGCTCGCTAGTCAGTCACTAGTCAACCTAGCTCGGATGTCAAGTACTCCTTAAGGATCGTCACACTGATGCTGCAACTGACTGCAGCTTTCTTTTGAGAAGCCTTGCATGTGATTTCCTGTTCGCAAACGCGTACTTGCAACAGTTCACAACTCTCAACCCCGAGTGCACGTCATGCCGCGACATGCGAGTCACTAAGTGCAACTTTGCGTAGTTCCAGCACATGTCGATTCGATTAGACATGTTCTTTAGGAACATGCTTCGGAATGGGTAGCGAAGGATTAGCAATAGTTCGAAAAGAATTGCCATTCTGGGTAACAAGGCGTTTTGAACCACCACCTTGAGAAACATACAACGTAGCAGCGCTTTGCTGTTCATATTGTTGATACTTTCTGGTTGTGATCTGAACTGCAAAACAGAGTGGAAGCATGCATCTAGCTCGAAATGCAGGACGAATGGCGATCTGAGAGGAGGAAAGGGCATTCTTGCAACATCTCGAAAGCCGTCGTCAAGAGCCACCGAGGTTGTCAGCCTTGGCGAGGAGAAGAGCAAGACTGACGGTGAAACATCGAAGAAAAGGGCCAAGGCCAAAGAAAAGCACAAAGAAAGTAAGAAGCACAAAGACGACAGAGCTACCGAAGCCGAAAGAGAAAGAAGCCTAGGTGCGACAGAGGGTTGTGTGCCGCAGAGCGACACAAAGAAGGAGGAGAAAAAGGAGAAGAAAGACAAGAAAGCAAAAAATCCGATGGACAAGAAGGACAAGATAGAAAGGAAGCGGCTGAAGAAAGAAAGGAAGGAGAAAAGAAAATCCGAACGGAAAGGAACGGAGAAGGCAAGAGGAAAGAAAGAAAGAAAGAGAGAGAAGATAGAGAAGGAGAAGGAGCGGAAGAAGGCGAAGAGCGGCACCGAGAAGGCCGTTGAGAATGACACTGATGCGCTGGATCCGCTGGATCCTTCTTCGCATCTTGAGGCGAAGGCCTTGGCTCCTTGTCTCGCGGGGCAAAGTGGTCGAAACAAAGTGTTTACTACTGTGTTTACTGACAACAACCTGACCCATTCATCCCATTGCGGGTGCAACCCCATGTCCTCAGTCCGAGGAAAACACCCAAAGGAATGGGTGTGGGAATCGAAACCTTGATATTTCAGTGCTATATGAGGGTATATGCAAGTTGTTGTTCTCAGGTCGGGCTTTAGATGTTTTGGAGCTCCGGACTTTTGATATCTTCCCATGGTTACTCTTGCTCAGCCTAGGAGATGAAGATGCGTCGCAAATTGGCAAAAGAAATGCGACGTGAGCAGAGGCGCTTGAAGCGAGAGGAGCACGAGCGCTTGCGAAAGGAGTTGGCTGAAGCCGATGACTGGCACGATGCCATTGGTCAGCTTATTGAGGCAGGACCTTCAAAAAAGTTTTCAAACGTTTCCTAGTGTTACCGTATTTCACAGCTAACTTTAAAACCAGAACTCCCATGTACGTTTGGGAGCTACTACCAACAGGTTGAAGCGCTTACTGTAGCTTGAACATGTCAGTGCCCAAGAGCATTCTTGCACCCTGGGGTTTGGTTCCATACAGAATATCGCAGTTGGAGCAGTCTTGTGTAATGCAGGCTGATGACCAGTAAGACGATGGTGCACTAGATCATGATCATGAGACATGATCCATTTGTCAAACATTTTGATAAAACTGATAAAACTAGTAGTAACAAGAAGCTACTAGTAACAAGTGCATCGCTTCTAGTAACAAGTGCCTTACTAGTAGTAACAAGGACGCTACTAGTAGGCAATTGATAATTCAATTGCTTCCTTTGTTAACATGTGACTCAGGCCGCCGAGGCACGAAGCAAAGAAGTGCCAGAGCCTCAAGAAGGTGAGGATGCGGGTCTCGCGCCGACCTGTCCACCACCGGCACTGACGCCGTCTTTCCACTCTGAGCCTTCTCAACACCAACACCCTGAGCACTCTGAGCACTCTGAGCCTGCCCCATTCCGGACTTTGGAGCAGCTGGTCAAAGAGCTGGATGAACTTGAGAGGCGGGGCCGATGACCTCCAACCATAATAGCGATCGGCAAAACACGGAGTGGCCTGAGCGCATTAGCCAGGCTGGAGTTTGCCTCGGAGTAGTTGGGAGGCTTTGTGCAGACACGTATGCGGCATATTCACTGACGGGTAAAGGCACCCCTTCAACATCTTATCGTCTAAAATCATCAAGCATCTAAAGATATCTAAAGTGATATCCAAGACTTAGATTTTTTTTTATATAGATGAACGAATTCTCGTAAGAGTGGGAGAAAAACTGCCGTGCAGGTTGAGGAAGGCAGCAAAGCAAGCAAAGAGATCAAAGCCGGAGGATGCGGAGGACGTGGAGGGAGGAGGCCATCGCTAGTAGGTTGGCGGCCATCGCTACTAGGAGCAAGGACGCTATTAGGAGCAAAGTGCATTTCTACTAGGAACAAGGACGCTAGTAGTAACAAGTGCCTTACTGGTAGTAACAAGAAGCTACTAGTAACAAGTGCATCGCTTCTAGTAACAAGTGCCTTACTAGTTATTAGCTTGGAGGTTTTTGCTTGCTTGCAAGAACCAGGACGTGGAGGGCGACGCTCCAGACGCTCCAGACGCTCCAGGGGACGGAGATGCACAGCCCGGACCTGTTCCAAATGATCCCATGAACCCGTTGAATGCGGCCTACGACATGAGGGCTTATGAGCTGCTAAGAAAACTTCGACTGGATGAAGAGCATCAAATCTCTCAGGTCTTGGTTCATCAAAAACCACAAAGCATCCACATGAACTGGGGGAGCAACCACTGTTGTTTGGCTGCTTCTTTGCTTCGTCTTATATTTTCTTTCGGTTGTTTGTGTTTTGTTGTATTTTTCTGTTATGCCTCTTGGAATTGCAGCTTTTCCAGTCTTTTCCTTTGTGTTCTTGCTTTTCCGCCTCCGCCTTTGTTTTTGCTTTGCCTTACTGCTTTTGTTGCATGTGTTGCTCTTCTGCTTGGTGTGCTTGCTGAGACAATCTGCCTATATATTTAATGATACTTAATGTGTGTGCACCCTTCCCTTGCTATCTGGAGAAGAGTGTAGGTTATTCATGGCACTCTGTTAGGCAGGGGTCAATTCACGCCCGCCCTCAGATAGCCTTGGATGAACCAGACTGGGATCATTTGGGCTATTTGAGACGCTCTCCATCACCGTGCCGTTTGCGACGCTTGGCACAACCAGGGCAGCTTCTCTTGAACTGGGCCCATAGGATCCCAGACAGCAACTGCTTCAAAGGCACCCTGTCCAGAAGCCCACATGAAGACCAAACGGCTGTTAAAATTGGCTGAACTAAACTTGTGGGATGACCTTGTGGTACCCTTCACCATTGCGATGTTGAAACCGCATTGAAACCGCATCGAAAGCTCTAAAGGTCGTCCCTGAGAGGAACGAAGCATTGACCAAGGAACGAAGGGCACCATGTGGCCCACCCGCAAGGGTGCCTGGCGCAGCCGTGCCGGCGGGGTCTATTTGCCACCTGAGCTCAACCCTGAGAACCTGAGCTGTGCTATGTGATTCTGAAAAGGCGAATTTTCTCGTTGCTGTTTCCAATTTTGAGGTGTTTCCACGACTCCACAACCAGATCTCAAATCTGAGGAAACGAGGCTCACCAAGCCTCAGCCCCGCGCGCTGGATGTATCCAGAAGAGTTTAATCGACCCTTGCAGAGACTTGGCGCGAGTGCAAAACGTCAACCAAAACGTTTGGGTACGGTGTGTGCGTTGCCGCTATGCTTGAATGCACCTCGCTTTGGAAGCTTTATGGTTGGTCAATTGGAGTGTGGACCAGTGTGGAGCTTGGGTTTGTGCGTGCCTCCTGTTTAGCTCTCATAAATGTTCACCAAAAGTCTCCCCAAAGAAATCTAGTGACCTCTCCGGCATTTAGATCAAAAAGACAATCCTGAGTAGGTCCCCTAGTCAAACGCCTGCCCCATCCTGCCTCTTTGCGATGACACCAGGAAAGCGCGGCGGTCTCCATCGTATGAACGCTTCGAGCGGGAGGAAATCTCAACGTCGAGCAGTAGTTCCTCTTCCTCTTCGTCGTCCACAATACCGAAGAAACGGAAGAAACGGAACGTTGCGAGCTCGGAGAGTAGACTGAGTCGACCATCTCCGACATACGACTGATGGCATGGAAGACCCACAAAATGTACAGATGGGCGACATGTGCCACTCGACACGTGCTTGAAACATCTTGAAACGAGGACAATCAGGTGATGACCAAGAAAAGATAGAGCGAACAAACTGTGATTTAGTATATTTAGTATAGTGTTGACGTGTGGTGAGTGCGGTCTGAGTGCGGTCGTGAAGGTCAGCGTCACCAGAGTTTCACTGCGTGAAAAGGGGATCGGAACGAACGGAGCGACGCAGCGAGTCATAGCGACTGCGGGAGGTGGTCGCGGTTTTGGGGAAAGCTCAGAGGCTGTTGCCGTTGGCCCATGCTGGCCCTTCTTTGAACACCTGCTGTTTAACATTTGGGCATGCATACGTGATAATATGTTTATATATCCCATATGTTTTACGGGTTGTTTGATGTTGGTCCAGGTTCATACGTGGAAATCAGCGTGGGCTGCTAGCAGAGAGCGTCTCGGAGCCATGACCTCAGTGTGTTTCCACACCGCCTGTGACCGAAGCCAATGTCGCCTCACTTTGTAAAGACCGGATTGGCGCCTTTGCACCATTTACATTCAAGCTATTCAATCCTTAAAAGATCTGGATATTGAAAAATACGTAGAAGCTTGAAAGTTTGCAGCTCAGGTGGAAAAAGCTTGTGCAAAAGGCCAGCCGATTTTGGGACTCATATTTGAGGCAAAGGACAATCATACGTCTTTCGCCAGGACAAGGCCAAGACGGGTGTGGAGCTCATGATCCAACGTTGGGTTCGTGGAGATGCTGCAGGATTTCCCGATTGAAGACGCGCTAACTTGAACTTACCTTCATCACTCACTGCCTGGCCTTCGACAAGAAAACTCCGGCAAACACCACAAACACATATTACAAAGCTATATTATATAAAGCTCATTGTCAAATTTGCTTTTGGGTTTCTAGCTTGCCCTTGCAGGACTCATGGCCGAAGTCCTCGCAGTGCACGGAGCCTATTGAACGCCTACTCAGCAATAGCCCATCATCCACTCTGAATGCTGAAAAAGGAACCGAGCACAACATCTATCAGTTGGCTTCTTACTTTGACTAAGTGAGCAAAGTCGCGACATTTACTTCTGCAACACTATTAGTTGCTTGAATTAGTGGTTCTGATGATGAAATGGAACGTATCTGAAAAGAGCACCGACGGTTATGGCGCGTCACCAAAAAATCCGCCCTGTTTCTATCCGTAGAGTGGAAAAGGCAGCTTATGCCTTGAGTCTTCATGTGAACCTTTATGGGTTGATACTTCTGATATTTGCATGTCATCCCCTTCCTCTACAGTATCGAGCCATGCGAACTGTTGCCATAAAATGTGTGGCTTCCTTTCTGACAACCTAGGTGGAAGAAGCTTCTTGACAACAGGAAAGCAGCTGCATGCTTCCGAGCAAGCATTGCATTCAATGCTATCTACTACCACCCTGTGTTTGAGTTGATGTGTCATGAGGCAAGAAGAGAGAGAGCACACCAAGCGGTGAACTTGTTGTACTCTTCTCAGATTCTCAGGGGAAGAAAGGAAACGAAGAAAGGATTGTAAAACATGCAGCATTGGCAAAAAAGCGGCAAAAGCAGTGTAACCATGCATGGGTAAACGTGAGGCTTGCGGTTTTCATCTCAGGCTTTGCACCTGGCGGCGGCCTGGTCCGCAGGGAGTGGCAGTGTGGACGCCGAGAAAGCATGTTTCCTGGAATGACCTTTCTTAAAGCCCGCTCTCCAACCTAATGGCGATGGCCTCCAACTTACTAGCGATGGCCAACCTAATAGCAATGGCCTGGTGCTATGCCGTAGCAAAGTCAGCAATTCAGTTTCGGACATAGATGTCGGCAGATGGGATGGAAGCTGAAGGCCTGTGCACTCTCAGCTTGGAACCGCTATGCGGCAAGAAATCAAGGACAGTGTGCCGTTACCACTGTTGAGAGCTCCTTGAGGTGACGAAAGAGCCCACAACGGAAGGGCATTTACAAGTAGCACCTGCACTGCACCGATTCGCCGAAGGACGCACCCGCGCAAGAAATTCCATAGAGTGCTGTCCCCAGTGGCGAAAATAAGAAAACATTGTTTCAGTGTTTCAGTGTCCTGGGCTTTTCGAAGAAGGCTCAAAGATCTTCGATCCAAGTCGTTTGCAGCATGCCTTTGTATGACCTGTTTGCCCTTCGGATGTGTGCGGCTCTTAGCTAAAGGCACAGCTAAGCTAGGCACGGCTAGGATACCTCTGACAGAGTTTGGAGCCATGGCTGCAATGGCTGGACTCGTGCGAACATGCCTATCCCGATCTTTGAGGCAAGGAGCTTTCTCAAGACTTTCTGGTTTTGGCGCCAGTGCTCCTTCTTGGCAGTACAGGTGCTTCAGCGCAGCTCCTCGTCAGGAGCGTGTGATTGCCGCAGTCGAGAGGTACATGAAAGCTCGGAAAGATGATCTCCTCCGTGACAGTGACAGCGGAGCCGAAAACCGCGAAGAGTCACTGAAAGCCTTGGACAAAACCGTCTCTGTCGAGACCCGGTGGGAAGAATTAAAGTTTGATGACATCGACAAGGTGGAAGTGCTTTTGGAGGTCGAAGATGAATTCAGCCATGTGATCCCTGATGCAGATGCCGACAGCATCAATTCCGTACAAGAGATCTTGAGCTACTTGGACAAGGCTGGCGTGAATTGAAGCGTGGGGCGATTTTGTGCGGCACACTTGGATGAAGAATCATGTGACGAATTCCGTGAGTGCCCTCTAGCGGCCATCCATAGGCCACTTGTGAAAATGCCTGCTGTGCCGGCAAGACCCTCGTGAACCAATGCGACCCAGAAAACGGGAGTGATCCGCACCGGGCGCTGTTGTTGAAAGCGTGTTAACAACCTTGCTAGCTACACAAAGACAAGTGCAAACAGAGCGGAACATCCAGTACAGCACACCAGACGCGCCATTCCGCATGGCACGACCACCTAGGCGTCAAGTGAAGCGCTATTTGCTTGGCAAGACGAATGCCATGCGCGGAGTGGTTTGCCCTCAGTTTTTGCTGTCGTGTTGATAAATGCTGTTTGCTCCGGTTGCTCTTTGAGGTGTCAAGTGCCGCTAATTTTTGTTGACATAGTCCTGATGGCTACCTCTAAGTTGTTTCTAACAGCGATGGCCTCCACCCTAGTAGCGATGGCCTCCAACCTACAAGCGATGGCCTCCACCTTCCGTTTTATTGACGTACTGCTGCACTGCTGGAATTCAATTTTTCGTCGCGGGGGAGGACAGGGACCAACAGTTGTCTTGAGGTGCTGGCAGACTGGAGACAGGTGCCTTCATTTAGCAAGCTCCCGGTCGAGCCCAAAAACAAGAGAAAACTTGCTTTCTTTTCAGCCCGCCCTTACTTAATTAAGTATAGGCACTAATAGGCATCTACTTATAAGTAAGGAGGTACTGTAAGAGGATAAGAGGGGGGTGCAGGCCGCGGATAGAGGATAAGAGGTAGCTATAGTAGTAGCTATAGTAACTATAGTAGCTATGAAGTAGGTAGGACGCTCCTACTAGCTAGGACGCAGGATAGCTCACGCTCGCACTAATGATTTGGTTCCTAGGTTTTTGCCAGCAGGTTCGACTCAATCATTTAACCAAGCCGTGGTGTTTTGCGCCGCTAGCTGTTACTTAACTGTTTGTCTTGCTAATTATTCCCAGAATGGAGAAAACGAGACTCCGAAAATTCGTGCATTGGAATTTGTGCACCGGAACCTGATTGGTGCAATTGTTCAAACCCGTGGTGTGCCGAGACGACGTTGAAACCGCTTGCATTGCTTCGCCGAAATGTGAGGTCACTCGCCGCGGGAAAGCCCATGGGTCCGTGGAAATCATCTTGAAGCAGCTTCGTGCTTAGGTCCACGAGAGAACGCATGGGAAGAGAGACAGAGGAGGAGAAGGAGAAGTGAACAGAAGCAGAAGAGAAGGGGTGGAGACAGGCAAGTCACAAAGAAAGACCATGAAAGCAGAAGATGAAAGGTGAGAATGGCAGAAGCTGGGCAGAAGGATGCAAAAGTGAAGAGAGACGAAGAGAAACAAGAAGCAGTCAAGAGAAAGAGCATTTAAAATTTAAAAGAAGGTGAGGCTACTTTCAAGGGGCCAGGCCCTACCTTCTGTTTTTCATCACACATTTGTTAGATGCATTGTGTTTCCAACAGAAAGACCTTCCCGAACAAAGGAACGGACAATTCGCATTTGAGGTGGGAGTTGGGCTCCGCCCGTGGGCTTCAAACCACGGCAGCTTAGCTTTTTTGGACTGTCAGGGTGAGTGTATATGAGTTTTTGTATGTTTTTGTTCTTTAAAAAGCACTATGTGCCTCAGCACTATGATAGTTTATGTGCAGCAGTTTTCTCAGGCACCTCGAGTGACTCGAAGGAAATTCTTCAGTTCTGTTCACGAGCAGCTTTAGACAATTTGCTACCGGAGGTGATGGGGGAGTGGCAGTCCGAGCCTTTGCACGATACCGATACCTGCGTGGCCTGGTGTGCTTCTCACGTGTTGACCCTTTGAATCCCTTGTGCCATATGCACATAAATCCAAAAAGCGCTCCAAACCAGCAAGAAGTCTAGATTTTGGTCAACATGGTGAAACTAGCATCTCCGTCAACAAGACATTCGCAAAACATCGTTGACAAATAAGCTCTTTTTTGCCGTGCCTCGTCCAGCTTTTGTTTCTTGTTCATTGGACATGGATCATTGCTTCCCTGTGTTTGTGTGGCTCTAGCTCTTCCAGCGTGCTGCTGCGCGTGCCATTCAAGTGCCCTGGCTGGTCAGTCATTTGTGCCCTTGAAAGACCTAATTGCCTCCTAGCCATTGCTATGCTCTCTGTGTCCCGCCCCCTAGGTGCACACCACTTCTCAAAAACGTTTACATCATGGCGCTCATTGCTGACATCGCTAACAACGCTGGTGCGATGCTTAAAAAGCACAAACATTTTGTGGAATATGGTGGTTGTTGCTGTTGATCCGCGTTTTGACTTTCAAAGACGCGACAGGATTGCCAAAGCTTGGAGATGTTCGTCACCACTTTGAGATCCGTGTTCCCGCACCTTTGACAGAACAGGTCGAAGAGGGAGGAGTGAACAAACTGGAACACTCTGAAAGTTTCTCCACACGTTGTGCCTGAAATTGAGCTGGATAAGGTGGGTGTTGGGGTAGTGGACCCTGTGGTAGCCGCTTGGAGATTGGAGAGAAACAGCTGTGCAATGATGTTGTTCAAAACATCCCCAGTGATGCAGTGATGTTGTGTTGCTTTCAAGGTGGTAGTGGTGGTAGTATAATGCAGCAACGGGGCACTGGTCTCCGAGCTGAACGAGATGGCACTAGCTTCATCGGTGACAATGACGAGTATCAGTTGCTTGGCCTTTGAGACGTTTGAGGGGAGGGCATGTGGAGCATGCCGTTGGACCCTCATAACTACCGTGTTTTGCTTCATTGTGTTTGAACGTGTCAAGCTCCCACAAGTTTGGCTCAAAGTGCGTCAGTGTTTCCAGCCATGAGATTGGATTTTCCATTGCTGCTAGACTGTGAGTCTCCACCATCGGAAGCTGCAGTGGCTGTGTGTGCTGGGCCGGCCCAGTCTACACATTCGACACGCCCTTCACTCAATCGCTTCAAGCGAAGTGTCGCCATCACCTTCGTCACCTTTGTTTTCTTGTCTTTTGTTTTCTGGGTGCCGCTCAACACTTTGCTGCGGAGACTGGAGAGGGCGGATCGAGTGGTGCTGGTGGATGGCCAGACGTACTCGGCTGTCCAATACTTTGGCTTTAACCTCTTTACCGCGCCAGGCACCGAAGTCGATGGCTGCTTCGACCGGGGGGATGATATCGATCAGTGCTACTTGGGCAGTGGGAAGGTCCAAGAAGATGTCAGCAAGCGACTGGAAATCATGTTTGAGGCAGTTGAGCGTTTATTTGCATCAAACCTCTGGGATCCTGCCCCTACAACACTGAAGATCTTCATGTTGCCTGAATTCTACTGGCGTGGAAAGCAGGGTGCTTATCGCATTCACCGTGGAGTTGAGCGAGTGACTCATCCAGCTGCTAGGTGGATCGCTCATCAGTTCACACAAGAACGCTTCAAACATTGGTTGATTGTAGATGGAACCGTGGTGATGGCTCAAAACGCAGATGGTGTTCGCGGTGCGGTTCGACCCGAAAGCATCAGCTACTTCAATTTTGCCCCTGTCCATGTGGGTGGAACCAACCTGACCTACTTCAGGTTCAAACATTTGATCAGTGGTATCGACTTTTTGCAGCAGCCGGGTGCTCGCAGAGTTCCGGCACCACCTCACCACTCTCATCGCTTTTGTGAAGAACATCCAGGTTTCAAGGGTTGTGTTTACCAACACTTACCACCGGATCTACTGGAAGATTTGGGCTTTGGTCATGATGTGGAACTGCCCAGTGGCTTATTGAAGATTGGTGGTTTGCGAATTGGTTTGGAGATTTGCTTGGACCACGCCATGGGAGAGCTTTGCAAGAAAGAGCTGAAGCCATGGGAACGGGTGGATCTGCAGCTCATCGTCTCCGCCGGGATGAACATTGCCTCAGGTGGGTGGTCACTCTGTAGCAGTACTGACTAGCACTGGCAGCTCATCTCTTGATTTTGGGCTCCAACTCTTGCCAAGCATACCCTTTGGGTCTCAGCCCTCTCCTGAAATGTTTCTTGTCATTCCTTGTCCATCCGTCACCTCCAGGTCCTGTGTGCACGCGTCCTGGAGGCCCGGTTTTCCTTGCAGACGGCTTTGCAAGGACTGAGGTGAGCCTCAACGCATTTGGCCGTGGCCGAGAGAGTGCTCCGATGCTTCGTCGGGGTCGGCGCTTTAATGCCTCTTGGCCCACTTTTGGCGAGTGTCAAATCATGTGCTGAGCAAGCCAGGTTTTGGGGATGCCGGCTTGTAAGAGATGAAGAGGCATAGCGGTCTCATGCACTCTGAGCCAAGCCTTTGTGTTGGATCATGGAAGGTTACACACAGGTTTGCACTGGTTGCCATTTCAGACATTTTCAGATGAACTTCCCAGGTTGGCCTTGAATATGGCGCAGATGTGATGGTTTCGATGCAACAGTGGTTGGCTGACAGCATTCTCCGCCTCACAGGGACAAGTTTCGGCAGCCGCTTTCCAGGTGGCAGCATGCCCGGGGAAGCAATCCCATTCAGGCAGATCCCCGCCCTGGGAGAGAATTGGATGAAAAAGCTCAAAGGCTTCTTAGCAAAAGTGCAGCTTAAGTCTTACGGATAATGTTTGGCATGCTTTTGTGACCTTTTTTCTCAAGCACTTTTAGCTGGAGCACGCATCCAACCTCACTGCAGATTCGACATAAGGTTTCTATCACACTGGCAGCTATGTAGAAGCAAGTTTGGCACAGAAAGCCTTCGAGCGAGCACTGAATACGACCAGCACGGCCGGCGCGTTCTCTGACTCGGTAGAAGAACCTAAGGTACGAGGTTCTGCAGCATAGATAGCTATTCGGTTGGAGGCCGTCGCTAGTAGGTTGGAGGCCATCGCTAGTAGGTGTTTTTTTCTCTTTGTCCTTTCTTTTTGTTTTTGGTGGCCATTGCTATTAATTAGGTTAGTGCAGCATAGAAAGGTCTCCAACTTTTGGTGTCCTTTTAGATGTTTTAGACCCGACTTGTTTATTCCTGTCTTTTCTTATTCCTGCTGTTCTTTGCCAAAAAAATCCAGAGTGGCATGACTGTGTTCTTCAAAAGTTTCACAGTTCCAAGTACCCTCGAGGTCTTCCCGACAATTGACATCTACGGCCCGTTTCTTCTTCCAAAGTGACGCACTTCTCGTCGGAAGGCTTGCTTGCACAATTTGCTAATTCGCAGCCACCGGACTTTGCCAAGCGCCTAGCTAATTGAAAGCTCGATATCCTTGGGAAGCCTGCTATTTTTGACTTTTTGCGAGCAGGTGTTGTAGTCCAGTGGGCGCTGAGAGGCATCGCCCATCCCAAAGGGATGCTGCTTCATTTAGATTTGCCAAGAGCTCAAGGTGCCTCACAGTTTTGTGTGCAGAACTTAACATGCCGCTGATGCCAACAACACAGGGTATTACTCGGTATGAAGGTATGACACAGGGTGCTTCAAAACTTTTTTTGAGTTTGGAGCAGCCCCGGTGGCCCTTCTTGTCACTTAGTGACTACGTCATCGGACGTTTTTCTGGAGTCACCGAGTCACAACTTGGTCCCACTCAAGCGGACGGCAAAACGTCGAAGTGCAAGCCTGACACCGATGCCACAAAACGAGTCGAACAGTCTTCTTTGGAGCTGAGTTTGGTCCAAGGCTTCCAAGAAGAGGCGCAGCGGCCTCTTGGAAGCTCCATTCACGAGTTAGTCAAAGCCTTGAAGCATCCAATTACCAATAAAGTGCCATACCAATCCATACCAATGTGTTATGCTCCAAAATTGTTGGCATTGACCTTTCCCGATGCAGGTAAAGAGGCTGAATTCCAAGCGCTCTCGAAGTGTGCGGGAACAGCTCCTCAGCTTTTCAAATTGTGTCGTCAAGGGACTTTGGGTGCAACAAGTGGACCGACAGACGAGTCCCGTTTTCCTGCATGCTATTGCATGCTATATGGGTACCCATATAATGCATTGTCAAAGTGGCGTTGTTGGATCCAATTTCATTCTGATAGGCTTCCCACATTGCTTCGTCGCTTGCATCCGGAGCAGCGACGAGCTGTGATTGCACGCTTATCGCAGGCGGGCTTTGAGAGACTAGGCTCATGGAGGAACCACCGGGAACCAAGAACCATGCCCGACATCAATAAAGATGAGTCAGCCAGGACAAAACCCAAGGATCTGACATTTGTGCTGCATTCCACGGCGAAACTTCTTGGAATAGAGCAGTGCTCCTTTGCGTGTCCAAGTGGCATATAGTATGTTCTTTTTAAGAGTTGCATCAATATGTCAACTATGGCACTTGCCGCACCACAGTTGCTGCCAGCAGGAAGTTCATTTGCTTTTGTGTTGGTACTTATATAGGTGTTTTGATTAGAGCAGGAAAAGCAGCCGGCAGAACAACACACATACAATGACTTAGATCACTACGCAAATTTCCAAAACACATTGATCCTGTAGCAGCCCAGCCCGCTGGTCCTTTATGTTCGTTTGAGGGACGTTGCATCCCAATGAGGCTGTCCTGGTCACTCTGTGGTTGCATGTTTATGTCACGCTTGTTGGTTCTTGGTATACACCACACCTCACGCACCCCACATATAGCGCTGAGGAGCACCGCGA